TTTTGAAGGATGTGGGAACGAATGACTTCCTCTTGTGCGGCGGCACGCGCCGTCGCCTCCACCTCAGCCACATCGATAGTGAGGTAGCCTCATGCTCCCGACTCCTCTACTTGTTTTGGAGGGCACACCGATCCCTATAACCATCGTACTCCCCCAGCCGGAGAAGGGGCAACTAGCGGACCTTGAGCTTCTTGCCCCGGCTGATCCGAGCACTAGTTGCGTCGACGCAATGGATTCCCATCAGATCAAATCTAAGATAGGCCGGGCGCACTCCTCCCAGGAGTGAGGAGGGCCATAGCCTCCTACTCTCTGCATGAGACGACACTCCAATCGACGGATCAAGAGTGGTTGGAGTCGGATCTGTAGCCTGCCATGCCGGAGAAGGTCAGAGATCGCCAGAAGAGAGCTTGGGGGCGAAACAGAGTTAAGTGGCTAGGCTTTGATTCGGGGAGCAGATGGGGATGAATATGGGGTTGGGGTGGGCCAGTGTGGGCTTTTCGACATGGCGGACGAAACCCCTGGGCTTATATAGGCACCGGTGGTATCTAGGGTTACATATGGTCATTTGCCAACTAGGAATGACTAGCAGATATTTAGAGGTGTACTTGAAGTATACGCTAAGTCTTCGGCGATGTACGTCTTGATCACGCCAGGATTCGTTGCTTCTGTAGTCCTTCCTTTTGGAGATCAGCGGGCCGTAAACTCGGCCCATGGACTATGGGTCACGTAGGTTGGTACCCCCTAATCTAGGACACCATCAACGGACACGCCCGGGCCAGCCCATATCCACCCTAGATTTGGGTTGGATATGAGGGATGCCAGTATGAGGGGTCCGACTGGGTCGGGTTTTTTATCCGTCGCTGACCGGGCCGTCCTCCAGGGTGGGTGTTGGGGCCAGCCAGCTGCAAATGTGGTTAGAGAGCACGTAAATTGCGCCTGTACCCTTTTCAACAAACAACGTCTTCACCGAGGAGTTCTCAGTTACTCCTTCTGTTTCTAATTTTTGTAGAGATTTCAATACGGACTACATACGGATGTATATAGACATATCTTAAGTGTAGATTCACTTCTTTTGCTCTGTGTGTAGTCTCTATTGAAATCTTTTTGGCATATATTTAGAAACAAATAAAGTAGAAATTTCCAAGAATGTGAAACATGCAAATAACACCCTGAGCACACACCACTCATCTTTGGTCCATAAGCCGTCCTAAGACAAGACAAGCATGAACACGCGCGCAGGGGGCGGGCCTAATCAAAGGCAATATCAAAGGTTTTGAGGTGGGGGACGGCATGTGGGACGACGAGGAGTAGTTCGTTTATGACTCATTAGGTGGTGTCGGATAATTCCAACATGTAAATAATGTTGTAACCGTGGATTTGGGGAGTCTTCCCTCTTCTTCTTTAATGAATGATACGCACACTCTCGTATTTTGAGAAAAAATATACATGCGCGCATGATAAAATGACAGAGAGGAGAGGAGAGGAGAGAAGAGGAGAGGAGAGGGAAGAAGAACTAGACAGGCAATAAATGGGAGTGAGGTAATAATAATATAGGTTGCGGTCTTCAAAACACACAGGGCATTTGGTGTGACCCCATGGTCGATATCTCCTATCCTCACCTCACCCTTCCCTTGCGTTCTTTAATTCAATTCTGGCTAGAAGCTTCCCCACTACTCCTCCTTACTTCTTCTATCCCACACTCCCCCTTGTGCGCAAAGATCTTCAAGCGCTTCAAGATTCAAAATGTTGGTTGGTATGCCAGAACACCTTTTATCTCATTGCGTTGTGTGATATCTCGAACGACTGTGTTGTTGGGTGTGAGCCATTGTTTATCCATGATCTCACCCAAAGAGCCGGGGCACAAAGGAGGAAGCAAAGAATTCACACGGGATCATACAACAAAGAAGAGGCCACTTTGATTTGCGAGAGTTGGATGGAGATAGGCCAAGATCCCAAGACCGATGTTGAATAAAAAGGATCCGTATTTTGGCTAAGAGTTCATACAACCTTTCACGAACGGAGGAAGTTTGCGCCCTACAAGTTTGCGAGCAACCATGGCATCAACTCAATACAGAAGAGATGGGGGTTCATTCAACAAGAATGCAACAAGTATTGCGCCGCGCTTGAGAGCGCCGAAGCCCGTCCTGTGAGTGGCCTAGGCATGGGTGACTTGGCATGACCCCTTCTATTTCATTGCTATGCCATGTTCATGTTTGTTGCATCTTGTGTCCTTCGCTATTACATTTGTGCCCATCTCTTTTATTGTGTAAGCATTCCAATCTTTGGAAGTCTTCAGGCCTGGCATAAGAACAAGCCATTCACTCTCACCCATTGTTGGTCCCTCATCAAAGATTGTCCTAAGTTCAAGGATCAATATGCCGCTCTAAAGAAGAAAGGAGGGCCGACAGCTGTGGCTGGGAATGGAGATGTGCTCAAGAGGCCGAGGGGCAAGAAACTTCGTACAACATGATGAATCAAAAGGAAGTGAGGGAGGAGAGGAAGAGCGAAAGAAATGAAGATATACTTGGAGCTCCAAACGAAGAAGCTTGACATGGAGGAGGTCGCCAAGAGGAGGAAGCTCGTGATCGAGGCCACCAATGCCAACACCAAAAGCAAAAGAGGTGGTGCTAGCAATCATGAGCGTGAACTTGACCAACATGTCCCCGAAGAGAATGGTTAGCGAACCGGCAAAAGAAGAAGTTCGACCAAGACAGCCTGAACTAGGGAGGCCTCGGCCATGGACTATGGTCGCTCTTTTTGAAGGATGGCAAGTGTGCCGGCCGGTGGCTTTTATTGCGAGTGAGAAAACTTGTTCATTTTAAACGTTGGCTAGTGTGCCGGCCGCTGGCTTTATTGCCGACGTGAAAACTTGAGGGTTGACCATTTTATAGGCTGGCATACGTTTGTCGGCCGCTGGCTTTGTTGGCGGCATGAACTATGATCGCTGGCATGAACTACGACCACGGTGGACAAAAAGTTCATTTACAAAATAATTCAGGCGGCCGTACCAGATGTGTCTGCGGGTTGGGCGCATGACCAGCGCATAAAAAAAACGACTGTATGCCACCTCATTAGTTTGGGGTCGTGCGTTGGAGTTGCTCCAAGAGCACGTAAATTGTGCTTGTACCCTTTTCAACAAATAACGTCTTCATCGAAGAGTTCTCAATTAGAAATTTCCAAGAATGTGCAACATGCAAATAGCCCCCTGACCACACACCACTCGTCTTTCGCCGATAAGCCGTCCTAGAAAAGACAAGCATTGTCCTGGCGCACATGACAAACAAAATGACAGAGAAGAGAGGAGAGGGAAGAAGAACGAGGCAGGCAATAAATGCGGGCGAGGTAATAATAATATAGGTTGCGGTATTCAAAACACACAGGGCGTTTGGTGTGACCCCATTGTCGATATCTCCTCTCCTCACCCTTCCCTTGTGTTCTTCAATTCAATTCTGGCCAGAAGCTGCCCCCCTTCTCCTCGCTTCTTCTATCCCCCCACGCTCCTCCTGGTGCGCAAAGATCTTCAAGCGCTTCGAGATTCAGAAGGCTGGTAGGTACGCCGCAGCATCCTTTTATCTCGTTGCTTTGTGTGATATCTCGAACGGCTGTGCTGTTGGGGGTTGAAAGAAAGATTGTTGGTGAGAGCTCCTTTGGGGATCCAATCCAGAGGTCCTGCCCCTCTCACCATTTCTTCTTGCGATGGTTTGGCTTGGTGCCATTTCCCTCGAATCTGTCCCGGATTGCTAATTGTCTGTGGTTCCAAATGTTTTTTTCTTTCTCCCAAATTGTCACTTGTGTGTAGACTTGTCCATTATTTCTTCATTTTCTCCTTAACTAGCAAGATTGTGTTATGGAGAGCTCTTGACCAGAGCCGCTCGTCTGGTGCTTCTTCTCAAGGAAATCTTCTGTTCCAGTTCCTGTGTTCGTCCGTTTCAGTGTTCCTTAGATTAATGAGTTTGGCCGGCGCTGCCACATGATTTGGCGCCGCATTAGATTATTAATCAATCACTAGACCAGTAGCCCAAGGTATCCAAGAATAGATATGCAGAAAAAGAATGCGGCAGGAGGAAGGAAGTGGTAGGTTCTTTGCTTTGGCCCAGTTGGCATCCCATCAAGTGATGCTTGATGCCATTTGTTTCTTATTGCTGCTGCTGGTGCTAAAAATCATTATACTTACTTATTAGTAGTACTACCACTTCTCTGAAAGGGGATAACATACCAATGTGGCCTACTTATTAGTTTTTGTAAGCTAAAACATTTTTGTCTGAGAAGTAGGCCTACATGATATACAGTACATGGTCTAAAGGTAGGCATCAGTAGATGCACTGAGGAAATTAAGGCAGAAAAGAAGGAGCAGAAAGCATTTGAGAAAAGGGGATAAAAATGTTTGTGTCTAGTGCATCTTGACACCTCAGATGCTGGTCAATTTGTCCTGAAAAGGCCCTCAATCAGAGGCTTAGATAACATGAGCTATACTTTTGAAAGCATGCTGAGATTTTTCTTAATCCTTGTAATTGTTTGTCAACACTGCATTGGTTGTCCATTTGCTTCCTCCTTCTGGTACTAGTGTAATGTATTATACTCCTACTAGTTTCAGACTGTCGGTGCTCGGTCGCATCATGTAATTCAACTCAACGTTGTGCAGAAAAAATATATCAGTTTTTCTGGGGAAAGTGGTGTCGTTCTTAAGCATATCTACAGTGTTTTTATTGTGTAAATCGTATTGGTACATGATGTGACTGCCCATCAGATTCTATCGGAACAAAGGTGTCATTTCTGCAATGATTCGGTTAAATTTGTCATAACTCTTGCATTAGGAGAATGAATTGATTAGATTTGTTGGGTGGACATGATAACTCTTGAATTAGAAACACAAACTAGGCTGATTTGTTTTGTGGATACCACTAGTCCTCATCTCGGAACAGAAAGGGGTTGACTGCCATGACATGCATGTTACTCCCCTAGTGGTATAATCATGACAGCCCTATCATTCTCCATGTTTTCTCAAGTGGCAATCATGGAGGCAAGTGTCTGTTATTATACACCTCTCATCTTGCATGGCGAGAACACCATGATTTTCATCCTAGTTGTCATGCAACTTTCTCCCTGTCCCTGGTATAGTGTTTTCACCTTTGCAGTACACTGCCCCTGTCTTCTCTCTTGTCAGTAAATCTTGCTTCATTACCTTCCTCATTTGTGACAGAGCCTAACCAGTTACCAGTCTCTTCTCATAAACAGATCATGCCGTGCGCCGCCGAGCTTGTCAACGGTGTGGGAGGCGCCATCAAAGTGGGCACAACCGGCACCATCGGCTCGCTCATGACGAGAGAACTGGAGGCCATCAAGGTTGCGCCGCAAGGAGCTGCCACCCCGCGCCTGAGACGCCAAAGCAGTCCGGTTTGGGTGCCCTGCGGCGCTAGCCCCCGGAAGATCATCCCAAGGAAGAGCTCGTCCAGTGTCTCCAGCAGCAGCAGCAATGGCAGAGCTGACCGTGTGAGCGCTGAAGAAGCCTGCAAGACGAGGAGGAGCTCTCAGCGGAACAAGTCCAGCTCCCCAATGCTGCACTCGGATGGCGCGCTGGTTGACAGGAGCCCCAACTTCGAGAAGGCCAAGAAGAAAGGAAACGTGCATGGCGTCGAGGTGGTGGATGTCAGGTGCGGTAATCCGATGAGCAGCCGCCTCAGGAAGCTGGGTTTCTCCAAGCTGTCGGAGACCTTTGCCTAGCCCTAACGGGAGATGACTGAAATCAAAGCTGCTGCTGCTGCTGCTGCTGCCCTTTCCTGGAGGGCATCTTGGGTTTCTTTGTGCAAGCCTTTGGAGGGCAGTACGATGCCATCTTTGGTGAGCACAATCATTTCATCCACCTGACTGCATCCCTCTGTGTCGCGATCCCGTTTAGGTCAGCTTTCCTGCTCATGTGCTCTGATGCGTGGAAAGGTAGTCTATGAAAAGCATTTCCCGTCAGAAGCTAGATGTCAAATTGTCAATGGATGATATAATGTAGTTCTCGGAAAACCTCGCGCTTCTGGAGTACTCCCTCCGTTCGGAATTACTTGTCGTGGAAATGGATGTATCTAGATGTATTTTAGTTCTAGATACATCCATTTTCGAAACAAGTAATTCCGAACGGAGGGGTAGCAGATAAGACTTCTAGACTTTTGAATTGAGTTGATGGTCTTAGGCCAACTCCAACCGCACGACCCTAAACCACGGACGTACATTTTATTCGGATTTTGTTTGTTTCGGGATGGCAATGAGGCCATATCTGCCTAGATTTGTGTTTGCGCCGGCCGGGCGTCCAACAGGTGGCCCCAGCAACCAGCAAAGAATATAGTCACTGGATCTCGAGATCTTCACAGTTTAAGTAGCACCTCCGAGCATTGCCTCAGGCCTAGCCAGGGTCTGGCCACACTAGAAGTGGAGGGGCTCGCGCTTCCTGTTCCAGATTTCTCACCAAGCACATCACCCTTTCTTTGACAGGGCCAGAGCATCGAACCATCCAACTGCCGAGAGTACAAGCAGTTTTCCTCCACAGAACCTGCATCCCAAGCCAGGATACATGATTGAAACAAATGTCATTACGATATTTCCATAGTGACCATAGGACAACAGAATGTAACATGCAGTACGCTGGGTGATTTTTGTTATTAAACCACCAGGCCATTATGTCTTCAACGGACATTCCAGCTCGCTTCTTGGATATATCAGAGATCACTCTCCACAGTTCTATCGCAACGACACAGTTAAAAAATAAATGATCTACAGATTCAGATTTACCACAGAAAAGACTGGTAACATCCTCTACCTGCTGTCTTTTTTGCAGATTATCTCTCGTTAACAGTTTGTTTTTGGCCATAAGCCAAAGAAAAATCTGAATCCTCAGGGGGACATTTATTTTCCAAATAACTGTCAAGTTACCTAGCTGAATCTCCCTAAAATTAATAATGTTGTATAAAGATTTAACAGTATAAACTCCTTTAGCTTCATAGTTCCAGAGGATGGTATCCTCCTTATCCTCCAGAACAACATCACGAATGCGACTAAATAGACCATGCCAAATGGCTAGCATTTTTTGGTCAAAACACCTCCTAAAAGTAATTTTCAGGTTAGTGCCATCCCATACTTCACTAATGGAAGCATCATGATCATTGGCAATACTGTATAACTCCCAATACTGGGTAGCAAGGGTGGTATGCCCAATCCATTTATCTTCCCAAAATCTAATGCTATTGCCATTACCCACTATCCAAGAATATCCCATTTTAGTGGCTTTAGCAGCCCACAGGATCCCTTTCCAGAAGGGGGAAGCACCATTACTAGAACAGGTAAAAATGTTAGGGCTGCGAGTTCTATATTTGGCATCAATTACTTGCTTCCAAATCTTGCCCTCATCCTGGAAATACTCCCTCCGGTCCTTTTTACTCCGCACATTAGCTTTGACTGAAGTCAAAGTTTGCTAAGTTTGACCAAATTTATATTAGAAAATATTAACATCTATAACATGTAATAAATATAATATGAAAATATATTCCGAGATGGATCTAATAATAAATGTGTTGTTATGTGAATGTTAATAATTTTTTGTATAAACTTGGTCAAAGTTGGATGAGGTTGACTTTAGACAAACATAATATGCAAGTAAAAAGGACCGGAGGGAGTATCTCTTAATCCAGGAAGCTAAGAGGCATAAATTCATGTCCGCAATGTTAGGGATGCCTAGACCTCCATGCTGCTTTTGTAGGGTCACATTGCCCCAGGCAGCCAAGTGATATTTATGGTGACCCTCATAGTCATCCCAAAAGCAGTAAGCTTTGGGAATTTAATAATCCCCATAAGATAGCTAGGAATAGTAGAAAGGCAGGTCTTCACTAATGTGAGTCTCTTGCCAGAAAACAGTAATCTCCCTCTCCACCCCGCTCCTCTTTTGATAATTTTATCAATAGTAGGTTGGAGCTCACACTTCTTAAGCTTTCTGTGATGGAGGGGGGCTCCCAAATATTTAGTAGGAAACTCACTAATCTTGCACCCAAGGATTTGAGCAAAAATATTAGCATCATCTCCACTAACATTAATGGGTACTAGGTCACATTTGTGAAAATTGATCCTCATACCTGATAATTGCTCAAAACAAGAAAGTAACCATTTAAGGTTTCTGGCATGGGAAGTGTTATTACTCAAGAAAAGCAAAGTGTCATCTGCATACTGCATACTAATAATGCCAGCAGGATTGGAGCTAGGGAAAAGACCTTCCAGAATATTATTCCTAGAGGCTTTCACAAGGATCCTAGTAAAAACATCAACAACTAAATTGAAAAGCAAGGGGGAATATGGGTCCCCTTGTCTCACCCCCTTCCCAACAACAAAAAAGTCACCGTTGCTATTATTAATATTGACTCCAACAGAACCTCTATATAAAAGAGATTCCACTTTCTTCAGTCATTTAGGGCTAAAACCTCTTTTATGCATCATGTCCATTAGGAATTCTCTATTTATCATGTCATAAGCTTTTTCATAATCTAGCTTAAACACAAAACCAGACTGTTTACTAGAGTGCACAAAATGAATAATTTCATGGGCTGTGATAATGCTCTCTGCAATGAATCTGCCTTTAATGAAGGCTGTCTGGTTCAGAGAAATTAAATCTTTGCAGATAGGACCAAACTTATTAGTGGCACATTTAGCAAAAAATTTAAAGCTGCAGTTAATCATAGCAAGAGGCCTAAATTTCTCCATTCTAGTGGCATCAGCCTCTTTAGGGACTAGAGTAAGCAGGGAAAAGTTGAGTCTGAATAAGTCTAGATCACCCCTCTCCCAATCATGAAACAGAGCAAATAGGTCACCTTTAATTAGGTCCCAAAATTGCTGATAAAATAAAAACGGAAATCCATCTGGGCCAGGAGCTCCTTCAGCATATGAGCCAAATACAACATCCTTAATTTCTTTTTCAGAGAAGGGGGTGTCCAAAATGCAATTATGTGCATCAGAGACCTTCTCATCCTCTCCCCAAAAGTCATTTTTCAGGTTGATGTCAAGTTTATCTTGAAAGCCAAATAAATTTTTATAGTAATTAACAACAATATTCATGATACCTTCAGGGTATGTAACAGTACCTGCATTCCCTTCAAGCGCCATGATCTGCTTCTTTCTCCTCTTCTGATTAGCTACAGCTTTAAAGTAGCCGGCATTTAAGTCTCCTTCCAGTATATCTCTCTCCCCGGACCTCTGTCTGGCCTTAATCTCTTCTTTCCTCCAGATTTCTTCCAGGTCCCCTGCATTTTTTTTGATTCTTCTGTTAGTGTGGGGAGAAGGAGGATTAGTTTCAGAATAAACATCTAGACAGTTATACTCAGCCACCAGGGCTTGTTTGTTCCTGTTTTGCTCAGCCTCATAATTGACCATCCACCCCTTGACAGCTTTTCTAGCATTTTCTAATCTTGAACTGCCAGATATCTATTGCCTTTTTAAAATGGCATTTAGCAGTCCAAGCTTTAACAACCACTTCTCTAAAACCTTCTACCTCTAAGCACCATTTTTTCAAACCTGAAGTGTTTGGTCTTAGGAATGAGAAAAGCACCTGTATTGAGCACCAAAGGAGTGTGATCACTCCCTAGCCTAGGTAGGGCTTTAAGGTGCACTCCAGGAAAAGCAGCAGCCCAATCAGTGGACATAAAGACTCTATCAATAGTAGCCATCACCAAGGTATCCTGGTTGTTGCCCCAAGTGTATCTCCTCCCATTAATCTTAAGTTCTAATAAGCCAAATTTATTAATGCAATCATTAAAGAGGTTAGCCCAGTGCTGATTGATAGGACCAGTATTTTTATCGCTGGCCTCTCTAATTAGATTGAAGTCACCCCCCACCAGGGTAGGCCCTGTCCAACTGGTCAGCAAGGAGTGTAATTCATTAATGAAATCCATTTTAAACTGATCATAGGCAGAACCATAAACAGTAACAAGTCTCCAAATAGAGGAGTCTTGTTTATTTTTAAGAATGCATGAAATACTGAATTTATGTAAATCCCACTGGACTAGGTCAACACTATCCAGCCTACATCCAAATAAGATCCCACCTGCAGTATTAACTGCAGGGAGCCATTTCCAAATGAATTCAGCTCTGGGATCAAAGGCTTCAAGTTGAAGAAGAGTAAACTCTTCTTTCTTGGTTTCAGAAATACAAATAATATCTGGACTATTGGCTCTAATGAGCTCTTTCAATTTGTCCACTTTAAAGGGGCCATTTAGCCCTCTAATATTCCAGAAAATACCTATCATTTAATACTAAAATCAATTTTCCTCCTTCCTCTATAGGAGTTAGTTCTTCTGCTAATCTCAATCCAGGGGGAGTCTGTTTCAGGGGACACATTAATATGTGTCCCATCTTCAGGCTCAACCTCAGTCCCAGAATTGACATTAATATCATTAAATTCCTCACCAGTAATATCAATACTAGTAGGTAAAAAAACATCAGGATTTTCAAAATTAAATCTAGAGAGTCTATCTAGCTCTATCTTCTTAATATTGGAAATGTTATCTCTAATATTATCCCTGCTAGTCCCCAAGTTAATACCTGAGCACTCTGCAGTTCGAATTAATAGAGAATCATCTAAGCAAGCAAAAGAGTTATAAGTACCTTTTCTAGTAGTAGGTTTTTCCAAGTTTTTAATTTGTTTCAGCTCCTGAGCTTTCTGAAGAGCTGGCCTGCCATCTCTTATGTTCCTGGTGTTA